TAGGTGGGGCTGAGAGAGCTCTTTCTAGGACTGCTCTTGTGAGAACAGGTCTGAAAGAACATGTAACTGACCCAAGGTCACACCAGCAGATGCATGTAGAGGAGTGGGGAGTCAAACCTGGTTCTCCCAGACTAGAGTCCATGCTCTTAACCACTACACCAAACTGGCTCTACACCAGTACACCAAACCAATCTAAACCACTGCACCAAACAGGTGGCTCTACATTACTCATTTCATTGTTCAAGGCGGAAATTGAAAAACTCTGTAGAAGGTATGTTGTCATGTCGGTGCTTATCACTCTATTTTGAATTAATTGTGTAAATATTTTTGTGTTCCTTCCATGTGGGAAAGAACAAATTGTTGTAGTTTTTGGATATTAAAGAAACTTCTTAAGGCAAACCTGTAACATGCTTCGATAGGTATCTATGTATTATATTTTAATTTACAATTTTATTACTCAGTTGTTACAAGTCATGCTTTTATGTTATCTAATAACAGATCCCCTGACAAAGCCTAGAGTGAAATGTGTAGGAATCTAGAAAACTTCAATAAATCTTTTCACCTTGCACCTTTTCTTCCAGCATTCAGGTTGTTAACCACCTCTAGGTGAAGAAGGAGAAGAAAAGAGATTGGATTTATACCCCGCCCTTCACTACCCGAAGGAGTCTCGGAGCGGCTTACAATCTCCTTTTCCTTCCCCTCCCCACAATAGACACCCTCTGAGGTAGGTGGAGCTGAGAGAGCTCTGAGAGAACTTGTAGCTGACCCAAGGTCACTCCAGTAGCCGCATGTGAAGGAGTGGGGAACCAAATTGTACCTTTTTTCTTTTTATGCCAATAAAAGTATTTGGATTGGATTGGATTGGATTGGGGAACCAAACTCGGTTCTCCCAGATTAGAGTCCACTCTCCTAACCACTACACCAAACTGGCTCTCCTACACCAAACTGGCTGGTGGTTGCTTGAGATCTCCTGGGATTACAACTGATCTCCAGGTGACAGAGATCAGTTCACCTGGGAGAAATGACTGCTTTGGAAGGTGGTCTCTATGGCATTATACTAGGGTTACCAGCTTTGGCTTGGGTAGGGCTGCCAAGTCCCCCCGGGGGG